AAAAAAAAAGTTACTGTTGCTCTACATTTGTCATCGTCTTCAACTATAGCAATTCTTCATACTTTTTTTTCTTAATTAATTTTCTTCTTTACTTGTTTGACTATTTCTGTCTGAAGTCATAGGCAGATTGCTAAATCAAAAAATTACACAAATAGTTTGTTACTTTTTTTTAATTAATATATTAACATTTAATTTAAACCAGCGGAAATCTTCGGCGTCACTGTAAAAATTTACTGTTGCAGAGATAATTTAATGCAAAAATATTTGATTACTGGAACGACGAAAAAAGGGAAAAGAAACGAAGGTTCAGTTTGTAGGTTAAAAATTATGGTACCTACTTGCTGCTTTTCTTTTTTTTTCGTCACTTTTTACCTTTGATAGGTAAGGCTGCAATTTTTTTTTCTTTTTTGTTTTCTTTTTATTGTATTCCAAATTTTTCCTTGTTTTTGGCATCATTATTCGTGAAATTCCATTGATAACCAACATCTTCTTCATCTTCACCCTTGCTGCCACCAGCATCATTGTCATCTCCCATACACGCATTTGTCGTTCGTCTGGCATTCAAATACAAATAAAAAAATATATTTACAATGGTTTACGCATTCCAGTGAATGTTTTCCATCGTTTAAATGTGTCGTCTGTCTCGTTTGGAAATGACAAATTTGAAATGGAAACAAAGACTCAGAAAAGAAATATGTTAGAATTTTTCTGTTGTGAAATTTTACTGGTGAAAACCTAGCGATTAGGTCTTGAAATCCGTGTCTGAACAGTAGAGAGCATATTCAATAGTTGTACCATATTCGGTTGCTACGCGTATTGAAAACCACTGCTGGTAATACTACTACTAAATTTTTGTTCCAGTATTTGCTCATTTTCTTTTGAAATGACTTAGTTCTGCTTGTTATCATTATTTGAAATACTTTATTTATAAAATAAAGATTTTTACGATGAGATTTTGCTTCTCCGTTGCCAATGAAATACGAAAATGGCTTGTGTAAACGCAACATGACGTGATGGTTTGAAACTGTTCGGCAGCTGTGTTGAGTACCAAAATCGGATGATACAGGTTTAAAAGGTCTATTTGAAAGAGCTAGTTTTTAGAATAATGCAAGGAAAAGAACTACAGAATCGGAAGAATTAGACGTTTTAAGAATGAAAGTGACTGATGGTGGAGCTTCAGTAACAAATATAAAAAACTAGTATTAACTTTATTTCTCAGAAAAAGTATGAGAGATGGTCTAGCAGGCTTTTTTGTGGTCCTGTCTTGAAAAAATTTTTATTGATAAACATTAAATAGAAGCTATTAAAAAGAAAAAAAGTGTTTTTTTTTGTTGATAGACCAGTTTGGTGTTTCTAATTTTTCTATTGAAAAGCAGCGATTTTATTCAATGCAATTGACTTTACTGGTAACAAATAAAAGATGCTTTCAAGATGAAATTGGCAATTTGGTTCACTTGAGTAAAAAAAAAACGACAAAGAAAGCTTGCAAAGTATTATTCTTATATCTAATAAAGCTGTTTTTATGTTTGGCTTACTCTTTGAATTTGCGACATTTAGAAAGTGTTTTTGTGATCTGTTATAATGATTCAGAAAGGAAGTTTAAGTTTTCTATAACGTTTTGATAATAGTACTATTTTTTTTCTTGTTTTATTTCCGAGCGCTCATCAGGGACACACCCACCACAAATGGTACAATAACAATAACGTAATTTCACTTTTTTCGATGTTATATTATCGTCAAATTTGAATGTCAACGAATGTAGTTCCGTTGTGAATTTATGAATCATTGAAGTAAAATTTAAGGAAAAAAAAGAACCAAAATTGTTGATGTTGCCGACCGTATTGTCCGAATTTCAGAAAATTATTATTTTACATAATGTTAGCGAATTGAAAAATTCAACGGAACAAAAAGAATGTTGATGATAGCTAAAGGCCAAATTATTTTGGAATTTCAGCATAATGTTTAAAAATTTTTTAAACATAAAAGCAAGCAAAAAGTAGGAAGAAAAAAGAATTGTAATTTCAAAAGAAATAGGCAATTTACGATACAAAAAAATGTAGTTTTTTAAACCATTAACTATTTATAAAAGTATTAGCGGTAAAGAAGTTCTAAGAACAGGGTATGTCTGTGCTGAATTACCGACTACTGTTTTGATTGCGGTTGCCGATCGTCGGCAGTCGTTCACCACATTTAATGTTTGGTTTCAGTTTGGTTCAAAATTTTGTCAATTTTATTGTTCATTCAGTTTTTAAATGCTTTCTTTTTATATTCATCTTTTTTTTTCTTTTAATTTTCTGCTACAACTTGATTACTTGTTGAGCACATTTTCTACAGATTGTTATTTCAGTTTGTGAAACATAAAAAATTTTTTTATTGATTTATTTGATGGTTGGACTGTTACTGATAGTTTGTATAAAAAGAAAGAAAAAAGTGTAAAAAGGAAGCACGATGTTACGAACAACGGAGACGATCGCTACAGACAACAACTGGTTGAGGAAAGTACATTTTGCCTAAACTCCCATAGATCATCGAGTTAGATAACACAGGGATTTTTGATTGACCCTATAAATAAAAAAACAATTAACTATTATTACTTGGTATTGTGCTTGTCATACCATACATCGCAGGTATTTTTGCGTCTATTTCAGCAACTTCTACCCGTCAATACAGTTTCTTCGCTGGTATATTCGACTTCTGTTGATTACGACTATAACGTCTTCCAAAAAATATTTACACTTCAGAAGAAAAACAAAGGAAAAAAGTTGTAAAGAACTGTAAGTGTGTATACAGTTTTGGGAAGTTTCCAGTTGAGGCTACTTGACTGTTGTTTATCAGTATATCCGCCTCTGATACTACAGATATGGTAAGTTATTATTACTATATAGAGTTACAAACAAATTATTTTTTATTTAATAACAAGAAGAAGCAGTTAGCATTTTATCATTAACTATTTTTGTATTTCTAACTGTTCATTTAACTGTTTAATAAATGTGGTGTTTGTAGATCAAGTTCTCATAAGATTTTACCAACTTTAGCTGTAATATCGTGCTTTTTCAAGTGGGAAGAAATTTTTCAAAATTGTGCTGCAAAATTCTTTTTCGCAATTTATCAAAATTTTTCAAAATACGCTTTGTCTGTTAAGGTATTAAAAAGCAGTTTAGTTTTTTTAGACAGTCGATTATGATACAATTTATAATCTGATTGACGAAGATGCAAAAGCAGCTTATGAGATGTGTAAAAAGGTACTGTCTTTTTAACCATTCTAGACTGAGTAAGTGTAAAGCAACCTATCTTCAATGCTTTAAGTTTCTATAAACTTGAGGCGTTGAATTACAGCTTTTCCTCGAAGATCCCTCCTTAGATCAGGATTGTGAATTCTTATGGCGATTTGCGAAAGCCTGTATAATCTGGGCAAATTCAATGGAAAAAAAGAATTCGCTGAGGAAAACAGTGATCTTTGAGGGTTTGTTTTTAACAGTACCATCTTTTATTTTTCGGTTATTATTTATAATTTTGGCAGGTAAGTTATAATTTTAGGCAGCTCCTTACTTTATTCTTTTTGCGAGGTCAACAAACATTCAAAGTAAAACGCGTATTTGAGATGATTTTATGATAAAAATAAATCCAAGTTTAGGTCGAGGATATGCTCTTAAAGCATACACTATAAATGAAAATAGCTTTGAGGCACTTAGATGGACTGCTGTTCTTACCGGAGCTGCAACAGAGTTTCTCGGTGTTCGAGAAAGGATTCGAGAAGGAAAAGTTTTTACTGTAAGAACTATGCACATTTCTCTTCTAAAAGTCAACTTTCTAAAAATGAGGTTTAACTAAGAAAGTTTTCGTTGAAACTGTCGAATTTTTGAGGTATAAATTAAATTAAGGATTATTTGGACAGAGCAATTGCTATTGAACCGAAAGAATTCACTTTGCTTCATTTGCGGGGACGTTTTTCTTTCGAAGTTGCCAATTTGAGTTGGCTTGAAAAAAAAGTGGCCAACACGTTGTTTTCTGGAGTTCCCGACTGTACGACAGAAGATGCTTTGTCTGACTTTTTAGAGGTAATTTTGTGTTGTGCGGTAGCCTTGTTGTTGTTGTCTTTGCAATTAATACAGCTCTGCTATATAGCTCTTATCTAACCGTTTTCGTACTAATGACAAGAATGTTTAGGCCGAAAAATATGCTCCTTTTGCTTGGGCTGATAATCTACTTTTTATTGCCCGATGTTATGCCGTGAAAAAGGAAAAAAAGCTTGCAGCTGATTATATAAAGAAGATTGAGGCGATGGACAAGTTGGAAGACGCAGTTGTTGAAGGTTTAAAGGAAGTACGAAATAGTTTGGCGAAGAAATGACTGATAAGCGCAATATCAGAAAGCGTCAGACTAAGTGTTGATAAAATTTGAAGACTGGTGTGAACTATGTAACCGGTTTTATTCAAATCCTGTAACATTTTGTCTTCTGTACTATTTGAAATGTCACCCGTTTATTCATAATGCATCCTCTTTAATTTATTTTTGTGATTAAGGAAGAGTCAAACTGTAATTTTAAGTAGATATCTAAACTACCGGTAAAAACATGGCTTTTTTGAACTGCGATTCTCTTTTTTTGAAATTTATTTATTCGTCATTCTTCCCGGTATAAAGAGAAAGCTTATTTTTGTTTTTCGGACAGTACAGGATACGAAGTGAAAGAGTTTTGAACTGTAAGAGGTGAAATATTTTCTGCGGCGACATTTGCACTTATAAATTCCGATAGATGACTGTAAGATGTGCGATCAGAAAGCAAACTACTACGTAGTATTAATAAAGACTTCAGCACTGGTTGGCAAGACGAAACTACAAAAAATATTTTGCAGCACAATCTGCAACGACATCTAGCTACTGAGTCCTGCACAAGAAGAAGTTAAAATAGGTGTTGCCATAATAGAAAAGGTGATACGTAAGAAAATATGATTACAGCTAGTGGGTACAGGTAACAAATTTGTATATGTTTCATTGAAGAGGTAGGAACATCTAAATATGGTAATTAAGCCTAGTTCAACTTTTTGTTCGCTACACTGCTATAAACAGTCGTTTTTTGACGTTCAGCTGAAAGAAAGAATCTTGTGATTAATGAATTTTGAAACCAAGTTATCTGGAGGGAAAAGCCACCCGGTAATTTGAAAAGAATTATTTTAAAAGCATTGTGAATAACAGTGTTGATGAAACGTTGAAGTAGAATATATCAGAGCTCTCTTTCATAAAACACATTATTTAATTTATCTACTAAAATTTTTTATATAGAAGCAATGAGTGCTTGTCAAAAACACAGGTTTACCTTAAACTGCAAAGTGAATTGGTTATCAAGCTTACTAAATACAAGACAAAAACAAGCTTCATTCACATTTTCTTGTTCATCTATTAGATCTTTGAGTGCTAACGGAGAAAACTAAGCATTACCGAGGTAATCTGCATTAAGAGCTGATAATCTTGACATTGACAAAAATGATTATACAAACTTTTCTTCCTTTTTTTTTCTTGAAATTAAATTTACCTTTTTTACTGTAAGTACTTGAGAAAATTACATTCAGGAATTTAAAAACTTTTCCAGATAAACGTACCGTAACTCTTCAGTTTTTATCGACAGTTCCTTCAGTCCCGCCAATTTATAGTTTCAGTCGATAGTTACTGATAATTTGACCAACTTTTTGTACTGATGTTAGTGGAGCGGGAAAGATTATTTCTTCCTTCTTATTTATAATATTTTGAAGTGGCAGAGAAATGATACAGTTGCCAGTTTCTCTTCATAGATATTTGACCGCTGTTGTTCAATCACATGTCACTTTTGTAAAAAAACAACTTTTTTACTTCGCTGGAACGTGTAACTTATTATGCTAAATTACTTCTAATCTACTGTAACTTTGTCGCTATCAAATGTTTTCATTCTTATTTAAACATTGTTGATATTTTGGTGCTGATATTTCAAATGCTCTTTATTTAAGTTGCTGCTAAATCTCAACTGACCTTTAGCCGCATTTCTATCAGCCAAGTATTATTCTGCAATCGTATATTCCACTCTATGCATAAAACAAGACAGGAAAAGTCCAATACAATCGTACCAATTTCCACTAACCGGCAATCATACCAAATAGCTATGAGCCCTACCCAATTAAAAAAAGCTGTGGTTTTTGACATATTATTGCAGTTTGAACTGACGGACGTAGTTTAACTGCCTCGGCATCGCTGTTGAAAAACATCTTTATTCATATCTGTTTCCTCTATTTCACCTTTAGAATCTGAGATTATGATGAAAAAGGAGATTTAGTCTACAGTTGAAGTTCTGATCTGGAGATCTGAAAGTCTAATACTGTCTTCAGAAGTGCAGTGGTAAGCCGTGTAACTACTTTTGTTCTTAGACCTGCAATAAAAATTTGCGGCAACGAGGGCTGCAAAGTTTGCGAGGAAATCGTAGAGTAATGCCACAAGTATGATTTTTCTTGTTGAATATTTGCTGAGGTTAATAAGCGTTCTTCAGAAAGCGAAAAATGAATGAGTGGAAGTCAAAGTTACATATGTGTGAAGCGCCACGCTTACCGAACTTTAAGTAGTTTGGCCACTGAATCGTGCACTTTGCAGGAAACTGCTAATTTTGAACAATTTCACACGAGTATTTTTTCCTATATCGTTTCTAGGTTGCGAAATTTGCATTTCAAAGAATGTTTCCAGCTAAGCATTTCATTTTTTTCTGGTCACCACTGCACTGCTCCAAAAGTGCTTCGTGAACATATCCTCATAAAAACTCAAACGTGATAAATTCTTCTATTTCCTTCACTTGCAGCTGAAGAATTCCCTTACTACTTTTCATTTTGTACTTATCAGTTAGTAAAGTGTAACCGT